TGCACTTCATTTACTTCTTGATTTGGCCAATCCAGATGTTAAAATTTGTTGTCAGAACATGTAAGAACCGCGATGGTATTGTCTCAGTCAACAATTGGAAAGAATCACATGAGGTTGTATGAATGAGAATGTAGTTCATATGATTGAGGGCAAATAAATAGGGAAGTATTCATTGATGGGTGTAGAGTTAGAGGACTTTAAAGTGTCAAATTAAAGCCCCCAACTTGGATTATTGTTTTAGGTTCTGATACAAAAATGTTAGCCCCCAGGTGGAGGGAATCGAGGGAACTCTGGAGTGAGAGCTAGTTTCTTCCATGCCAAGCCGGTCTTCAGAACTATTTAAACTTTAAATTAGCCAACGTTCTTTATAACATCTCTAGTAAGGGTAAAGAATATTATTGCTCATATTTGACACAGCACAATTTGCATACTTTCATAATAGAATTCTTATACTTATTAATGATTCATGATAAGAGGAAATATTTTTTTCATATTAAATATTTTTCTTCTACAAAAACTTTAGTTATTTTTTTACTATTTCGTTAAAATATCAAAGATACAAAAAATATTTTAATTTTAAATTCCTACATAAATCCTTTTATGTTTAAGTAATTATCTTTTTAAAAATAGAAAAACTTTCTAAAAAGTGCATATTGCATAATCTTCTCTGTGGGTTCTATATTCAGGTCTTAATCAAAAAGTCTTATATTACTTGATAACGATAGGTATACTTGCGTAATATTCAAATATAAATATATATAAATTAAAAAATTAAATTCTTATTTTTCTTCATAATCAAGTTTTTGGTTTTGTTGCAAAATAAAAAAAATATAAGTGAAAAATATCATCAGAACTATTGCTATACTGTGCATAAACATTAACTATCCAGGGATCAAGTTTTTGACGCCGTTGCTAGAGATTAAAATCTTCAAGTAGTGGTGTTAACTTCTTAAATTCTTACATATAAAAAATATCAGGATCAAGTTTTTGGGCCGTTGCTGAGGAAGGTAACGTGTTACCGGGGAAGAATACTAAATAAATTTCTATTTTTAGAAAGTTTTATTTAAACTTTAAATATTTTATCTTATTTTGTAGGTTTTATTTTATTTTATTTTATGTTAGTGCATGTGTAGTTCAGGTTCTGAGTTAGTGCATGTGTTATGTTAGTGCATGTGTAGTTCAGGTTCTGAATGACTAATGTCTTATGATTCTGAATTAGAAAGAACTATTAGAAAAATCAAAAAAACCAAAAAAATTAAAAATCTTGAAAAAATAAAAAAATTTACAGAAATGACAAAAAAATTACAGAAATGACAAACCAAAATAATCAAAATGTTGAAATTCATCAATAGTGTAGACCTTTAAGAGATTATGCCAACTCTATTGTAGATGAACTTCATTATAGTATTCAAAAACCTACTGTAGTGGCTAATTCATTTGAGCTTAAACCTGCTATTATCCAAATGATATCAATTAATTAGTTTGGGGGATCACCAACTTAAGATCCAATTTTACATCTTACCAATTTTCTAGAATTGTGTGCTACATTTAAATATGATGGTGTTTCAGATGATGCCATAAGACTTAGGTTATTTCTTTTCTCACTGAGGGATAAAGCTAAGATGTGGTTGAATTCGTTAGCACCTGGATCTATCAGAACTTGGGGTGATTTAGCACAAAAATTCCTTGCTAAATATTTTCCACCATAAAAAACTGCGAAACTTAGAAATGATATTACATCTTTTAATCAGTTTAAAGGGGAATCTATTTATGAACCATGGGAATGATTTAAAGAACTCTTAAGAAAGTGTCCACACCATGCTATACTAGATTTGTTAATAATTCAAACCTTTTGTAATTGATTATTTGGTTCTCTTAGATCTATTATCGATGCTGGTGGTGGTGGTTCATTGATGTCAAAACCATTTCAGCTTATGCTTTAATTGAAGAGATGACTACCAATAATTTTCAATAGCTTTTTGAGAGGGTGAATCCAAAGAAAGTAGCCAACGTTCATGAAACAGATGCATTTACTATGTTAGCAAATCAAGTTGCTGCAATTTCAAGGAAGTTGAACCAATTTGGAATGAATTTTTCTCAACCAATTTTCATGATTGAAGAGAATTCATTAGGCTAAATGGTAGATTCTCAAACATCATTAGAAACTTTGAATGACATAAATAATAAACAAAATAACCCGTATTCCAATTATTATAACCCAGGTTGGAATAACCATCTCAACTTTAATTAGAATAACAATTCAGGTGGTAATAATCAGCAATGGGGGAACAACCAAGTAAACCCATTGGAAAACTGGAACAACCAAGGGAATAATAATTATAGATCTACTTATCCTCCATGAATCAACAATAA